GTTAAAGTTTTATGTAGTTGGTCCCTAATTGCTAAATTTTTTTTCAACAGAAAGCTTTAACTCTCGAGGAGGTTAGTCTTCTCAAAGAGTGCTACGGAATGCTCCTTAAAAGTTAAATCAACCGTTTGGAATGCACAATTTTGATAGAAGGATTTACTCAAAACCTATTTTTAGTCAAAAAAAAACGATCTTGTTGTAGATGGTACTTACCCCATTGTGAAAAAACTTTTTCAACGAAAGTCTAGAAGTTGGTTAACTGAGATGTACTCGGAGAATTCTTCTAGCAAACCACTCAGCCCACTAGAAAAAACTTCCGCTTTTACCTAACATTTCGCAAAAAAAAAAAACATTAACAGTGATTTACCGAAAAATAGCAGAAGGAGGTAAAGTTCGGCTACTTTGTTTAATGAAAATATAAAAAAGTACGCCAATTTAGATTCAGTGAACTTAAGTAAAAATAAAGTTAGAAATCTAATAGGACTAACCGAACATGATTTGTATCTCGATACTGATCTCCAGTATCAAATAAACGGAAATACTATAAGTAGACGTGATTACAGTAATATAATTAAAAACGGGGGAAATATTGCACCCATTCAAATTTTTAGAAGACAAAATTACAAAAGCTAAATGTGCAGCCACGCTTCTTAATTCGGTCAATGGATATCGACAAAACGGTAAGGAATTTGACGAGCCCACCTTCAAATCTCACACTGAACTGGGTAAAATATTAAGAAATTTGGGCTTTGAAGATAAAGATTTAATGACTGTCCATGTCGCTATAATAATATTAACGGTTCATAATGTTTTTGGTCCCTTTATAAAAAAGTTAAATTTTTTAAACACTACATGGCATATACATGCTTCTCTGTTATATAGAAAATATTATTAAAATGCTTTAAAAGAACGAAAATAGAAATTTGAAAACTGGTCTTTAAACTGTTTGGACATCCCTTATTAACTATTATTTTGATAACTTTTAACGATCAGTGTGTCTTTGATTTTTCCTAAATAATAAAATTACTTAAATACTACACCGCTTCTTTTTTATTTAAAATTGTTATTAAACCTTTTAAAATCTCGGAAGTCATTTTTTGTAACTATTTGATTTACTCTTTTTTTTTATAGGGTAAAAAGCAACATTAAAGTTTAAGTCATATTATCTCTTTTGTAGAATTAAATGTTTATTACAACGGTTTTCGTATCATATTTATTATTAATATTTAAACTTTTTCAAGCAATATAAAAAAGGTGTAAGCTAAAATTAGTAAGACTTCTGCGATGAATACAGGAGAGTTAATAAACTAGCATAAATACGTTACAAACTTAAATTTTTGCTAAATATTGGTATTTGTACCAATTGTACTTGCTATTTACTAGGCGTTAACACCGCTTAAGATAGTAAACCTACCGAAGTTGAAGTTTACAAACGCTGCAAGTGAAATAACTATATTTACTTCCTTTTTCCTACAGTTAATCATTCATACATCCCTTCAAGAATTTATTGTTAATTTTTTTAATAAGTAGAGCATTATACGATGGTGAAACTCTGATATCACTTTTAAGAAACATACTTAAGGCCGTTTTCAAAAACATAAACGCCTTTTAGTAATTTTGTTTAAATAGAGTAAAAACTTTACATTATCTTTAAACTTAAAAATTTAAGAAATTATAGTCTTTGCAAAAAGCTGCTACTAAAAAATAATTGATAATAATTTTTTAGAAATTCGGTTTTAACATAACGCCATTTATTTAGGGATAAAAGATTAAATTAAGCGGTTCACAGATTTCTCTTCTAATATTGGGAAGACCACTTAAAATAAGATTGGATTTTTTTAACGAATTTCAGGTAGACCAAGAGTAAGGTCGATCCATTTGTAAGCTTTTTTTTTTTAGTAACCTTTTAAGTCTAAGTAGACAATAACTTAAAGACTTCAACACTGTTCAGACTTGATACCATACTGACTTTTTTCTTCTTGACGGGGAGTTCGGTTTCTTTTTATTTAGTAAGGAATAAATTTACACCAGAGCTTGAATTTTATTTAAGTATAACACATCGCCTAAAAAGTCCCAAGATTAACTAAAACAAAAATATTTTTGAAAAATTCCACATTAAGATAGTCTTAAAAAACGAAAGAAATTAATCCAACGCTTTTCCAGCAATTCTACATCTTTAGATATCAATTTCTCTGTACCTTCAAAGAAGGTCGATGACCTATTTTTAAGGCCATCAAATAAATAATAGTCGCTGGATAAATTTGTGGAGTACTGTAGATGTCGAACTTCCTTTCATGCAATTTTTCCAAACGTAAACATCAACTTGTAAAACGGTGCATTATAAAGAGCATTTTTATCTTTCGCCGTTTGAAGTCCTTTTTTGAAAATTTCCTTTTTTAGAATAATGTAATATAAAATTCGCTATTCATTGATTTTTTTTTTACCGAAGGTAATCAATGAATATTTTATTTTGCGCATCTCAAAACATGAGACCCTAATATCTCAACCAACTGTTGAGTCTTTGAGCGGCTTACATCCTTAACTTTCCACTCAGCTCTCTGCCGATTGAACTTTGGAGTGTAAGGATGGATCCATGCTTTATTCATTGTTACATATCACAGAAAAAAATCTTTTATATCTCGCCTAAACAGTTTAAACAGCGTCCGAAGCATCAACACGTAGTTGTTTTTGATTAGCTGTGAGAAAACGCGGTACCTATTTAGAACTGTTTCCTCAAGCCAAAATTTGGTGCAAAATATAGCACAAACACTATTGGATCTTTGCGGCGTCAGCTAACACACACAACTTCACTTTACAATCACCAACCACAATGTTATAGTTTTTTATGAAATTTTCTGGAACAAATGCCTCATTTGGCGTTCAGGGCGATCATCATCACTTGCGTAGTTAAGGTCCCGTTCAAAGTCAGCAAACCACTGACAACTCGTTGTTTTCGACGAAGCAGATTCCTTTCAACTTTAACAAGCCCTAGCTAGGCCTGAACGGTATTTTCTCTATCAAAAACAATGCTTAATCAACACAAAAATCCGGGTTTTTCTCCCATTTATTTCGAAATAAAGAAAGGTTAAGTCACTAGTCATCAAATTCGGACACATATCACTTTTAGGTTGCTAATAACTGAAATGTTATGAACTCTTTTTAAAAGGGACATTTCTGGGTTGTCTCAAACTTTTTAGCCTGCGTACTTTGGAAAAGGTTATGAATAGCATTTGTAAAAGTAAGAAATGTATTGAAGTAACGCTTTAAGAAAGTAATATACTTCCCTTTTAAGTAGGCCATCCGACATTTGGTAGATAAAAGGTTGACAGTTAGCATTGCAAGTAAACTAGTTTCCTCGCTATTATATCTTTTTGAGAATTTGTTTAATCTTTAAACTCTTTACTTTTTTTTATACTTTTAGTTTATTTTCATATAAACAAAGTTTCTTATCTTTTTATTCTCCATTTTATAAAAAACGGAAAGTACGGGTTGCTGGTTACAAACCCTTGTTGAGGTTAAGCCACTCAAGAGAGAACTAGGATAGGGAAACCTACTGGTAAGTAGATGTGAAACAGAATCCTATGGGAGTGAAATAGATTATGAAACCTGTTGCTGAGGCGTATGGCTATATAACTTGTCTGACTCTTTTGTCAATTTTAAGAGTATTTCTTTCGAACCTGCTTCTCTAACATAACTTAAACCCAAGTTAGCTAGCTATGGCTACCTGCGCTTCTTTGCTTACATTATAAAGATTAAGAGCACTAGTAACTATCCAAATTTTTTTCTTTTTACTTTATAAATAACTTAAATAATTCTTAACGCGCACTATTTAGCTGAACATCAATAAAGAATGTAGTATTTAAAAATTTTAATATTTTAATAAAGTACTTTATTTTCCTATAAATTTTTTTTTAAACTTTAAAAAAAATTTAATTTTTAAAAAATTTATATACAGTATTTTCATAGTAAAAACTTTGAATGATAATAAAAATGCATATTTTATTATTTATATGCTATAACGTTATAGGAACGCTACAGCTTTTTAACTTTAGTTATTTTAAAAAGTTAATTTATAGAGGAACGCAAACCCAAAATAGTAAAAACCACTCTTTCTCTATTGCTGAATGTTTTATTTAGATTGAATTTTAGTGTACAAATGGGAAAAAGTATACTCAGTAGCTGTTTTTTATAATTATTTTGCATTTCAGAACACCAATTAAATAAAATAATTTGGTAAAATTTTCTTTTTTTTTTAATTTAAATAAAGATTTTGTTCAAAGCAAACACGCATTGCTGAATTTAAAACTAAATTTATTACTTTTATTTAATTTCAAGCCAATAATTTTTTAGAAAGGAAAATAAACAAGTGGATATTAATCTCTCATTAACAATTAAATTAAACCTTTTTTAAGGAATAATTGATTTTAATTGAATCTCTAAAAATTTTTGTTTTTAATAAATATTTTAAGTACTGCTTTTCTGCCGAGCAATGCTGACTTCGAAATTGAATTTCTATTTTTTTTTACCTCAATGCCACCAAATTTTTTATTTTGTTAACAAGGAAATAATAATATTTTTTTTTATAATAACAAGGTTAATATATTAAGTCTTTAATACTTTTTACTGTAATATTACATTTAATCTAAGTAAAAATGTAATATAAATTTTTACAATTACTGCTACTTTTAAAATTTAATTTTAACCATTTTTATTTCAATGTTAAATTATTTATAAAAATTTTTTATGATTGATATAATTAAAATTAATTTATAATTTTACATTTAGTTCAAGACTTAATTATTTATTTCGCTAAAACTTTTTTTTATATAAAATTTCAAGCCTTGCAGATTTTAAGTTTAAATTTCTAACTTTTTTTAATCCAACGCTATTTTTTTTTATAGAACGAGAAAAATAAAAAAAAATTCGAACTTTTTTTTGGATGTGGATATAAATATTTTTGGTGTATAATAGCAAAATTAGTTCCTTTATTATAATATTTATATATTTATTTTTTAAATCACACCAGGCGATTTTTCACTGGTGGCGGCTTCTGAAATTCGGAATTCGATTTTCCCATAAAATCTTGCCATCTTGAAAGTTTCTTTATAATAATCGTGCAATTGTCTATATAAAAAATTTTCATCAAAATCTGTTTAGATCTTTTTTAGATTTAATTTTTTAAATATTTTTCAAAAGATTGACTTCAAATTTTTGAATTTTTCTTTAAAATTTTTTTTTATAAGTACTTTCTCCTCCTGCCAATTCGCACTCGAGCTGAAGTTGCTGAGCGGCTTCGCTGGGACTGTCAATACGTTTAATAATCTCTACAACCTCATCTTCGTTAAAAACTTCCTATAAACTTGAAGATTTTATAAAAATTAATACAAAAAATTTAGTACTAATGAATAATAATAATAAGTATATAATATTAAATATTTTAAGAAAAGATACTAAAAATAATATGAAGTTTTTAGTAGTAAATTTTAAAAAAAATACTACTACTAATTATAGTAATAAGTAAATAATAGCTTTTATAAATAATGATATTCATAACAATTATAAACATAATATATTTAAAAAAAAAAATTATTAATAAAATTTTTTATATATAGTAATAATAAGAAATAATAATATTGGTAATACCCATCCGTAGCCAGTAGCAGGAAAGCGTCGTCCTTTGAAAGTAAATTTTCTGAAGTATCGCAATTAGTAAGGACTCCTTCGCTCATTAAAAAAAAGTATTTTTATTTATTTTTTAATAATATTTTCTTTTAAAAAATAAATGTAGTTGTATATATTTTTATACAGTATAAAAAAGAATTTTTAATAGAGTAAATAATTACAATAGTGAAAAGTAAAAAAAACAAATTTATATAAATTTTTAAAGTATAAAAGAAATATTTACTTTTATATAAATTTGTGCTTTAAAATTAACTAATGTAAAAGCTTTGTTTAATAATTTTATAACAAGCAATAAAAAAATTTAAATGAGAAGCATTAAAAAAAGTAAAGAATTATTTTATAAGTTATTATATTATTTTTATTTTTATATAAATTTCAAAATATAAAAAGCAATAATAAAATATTTCAAAAAAAATAAAACAACTATTTAAAAGAAGTTAGACCAAATTTTTATATGGTTTATAAATAAATTAATAAAAAGCAAATATAAAATATTATATAAAATGAAACAAATATTATAAAAAAGCTAAAAAACATATTTTTGATAAATTTATTAAAATTTTTTTCAGGCAATAAAATTCAATAAAACATAAAACAAATAAATTATAAAAAGCATTAATAAAGTGTTATATACCAAACTTGCGAAAACACGTGCAGCCCAAGGTTCGTGTTAACGTGAGCTGTCCGTTAACTCGCAAAATCCCATTAGGCAACTCAACGACCTCTCCGCCCGCTACCGGAGCAAATTTAATATCATCAATATTTATAAATTATAATAATTTTGTTATTATTCCATTGTTTTACTATTGCGGTAGTTTATTAGCCGAAAAGGAGTAGAAATATTTCTCAACCAATGAGAAGAAATAATAATTAAATTAAAATTTTGTTAAATATTTATATTTTTCTTTATTTTTTGACAAGCGATTTGCCAATCAAAGTAGTAAAAATATTGCACAGCAAATGAAAAGGCACATTAATATTTAATTGAATTCATAAAGAACTTTTAGTGAATCAAGTATAATTATAAAAATATTAATATTTTAATATAAAAAAATATATCTAAATTTAAAAAATTAAATATTAAATTTAATGGTTTATCAAAAATTAATAAACTAAATGTTTTCTTTATAAATATAATAACCACTAATCAAATCAAAATAAAATTATAAATTACCATTTTTTTACCAATTAACCAATGAAATTTAAAATCAAGCACAAATTTAAAAGAATAAATTCACTACATTAAATAAAAATTCTAAAAATTGTAATAAAATATTTAATACACAATCAAAATATAAAAGGGGAAATATAAATTTTTTATAAAAACTGAAAATTCTAATTAAAATTTATAATACGACTTAAAAATAATGAAAACAAAAGTTATTTAACTAAAACATTAAATAATAGTAAGTATATATAATAATAATAAAATTAATATTCCGTTAAATTTAAAAATCTTTTAAATAAACCAAAAAAGTTTAAAGAATAAAATTATAATAAAAAAATTGTTTTTCGTGCTAGAAAAAATGAATTAAACAACTGTTTGATTTTTTCGTAATTATTTTATCATAAAAATTAATTAAAAAATTGACAAATCGATATAGAAATAAAAATATGGCTTGAATATGATATAAATTCTTATTTTATAACCAAATAGGTTTTAATAAATTCTCGTCAATCAGATATACGCGTATCAAAAAAATGATTTATATTATATTTGTTTTATTTGAATTAAAAAATAATTCTGAACAATTGATAGGGCATGAACCATTATAAAAAAAACATTTTTATTATAAAAAATTTTCAGAAATAACAACTAAAAACTAACTTTTTAATAATACTCATAATAATGAACAAATCAGATTTTAAAAAATTACTCAAAAAATCTGGTAACTTTTTTTTCAACAAAATTTTTACTACAGATAATGAGAAAAATTGAAAAAAACCTTTAAGGATTCGTAACTTTTTTTCCTCGTTGCTGAGATTATGAATTGTTGAGAGTATCTTAAAACCTTTAGATTGATTACAATAATAATAATGAATAAATAATAAAAGATTAAGAAATGCGATAATAAAAACTCCCGTCTTACAATTAATACTGAATAGATATATATAATACATAATATATTAGTAAAGAAAGTAATAGAATAAAAATTTGTTAATAATAAATAGTTATATAAATAGCTATAATAAAATAAAAAATTATAACTTAATAATAACATTTTTACAATTCAATTATGAATTGAAAACCTATACTTAAATAATAATAATATATAAATAAATCCTAAATAATGATATAATAAATACTAAACAAAGAATACCAATAAAATCCCACAATCTGATAAAAAAAATAATATATATATAGATAAATAGTATACAGTATAGTAAAAACGGATAATTTACTAATAATAATAACTATATAATAAATAATAAAAAGTATAATAAAAATTTATAATGCACCATACTTCCCAATAACAAATGCGCGGGTATCCCCAACATACCCTACGCACAGCGCGTTACCACAAAACAACGCAACAAGACAAGTTGTACCGTGAACCTTGGCAAGACAATGAATGGTCAGCGGAATGGCCCACCGCCGCGGCGATGTCAAGACTTTTCGAGGTCAAAATAACCCCCGAACGTACGAACTCAGAAAGTCGCTGTTCAATTTTGCAATGCGAAAAAAGGGATTTCGTAAACAAGCTAAAATAATATTTTAGAAAAAAATAAAAAATATACTTTTAATGGTAATAATAATTTAGGAAAGAAATTATAAGAATACTTAAAAATTTTATTTAAATAATAATCAAAAAAATATTAACATTAAAATATATCAAAATTTTATAAATATAGTAATAATTAAGAAAAAAAAATAAATTATATATATATAATATAGTAATTTATTATAAATAAATATTATAATTAAAAAAATTGATTTATAAATAGTATAAAATTTAATAAAAAAAAATAATTATAGTTAAAAAAATTATTAAAAATATATAACAGTTTGAGGAATTATAAAAATAATTTTAACAAAAATTGTAAAAATTATAATGATAACACTAGTTAAATAATGATTTAAAAAAAATTTTAAATTTATATGTAATAATAATTTATAAAATATAGAAAAGCTATAGTAAATAATTATATAATAAAAAAATTATAAAATTTTAATATAAAAAAAACATAATATAATAATTTATAAAAAATAAATTAATGATAATTCTATATAATAAAAAGAGTCTAATCAAGTATAATACTTTTAGTATTTTAAATAAAAATGAATTTTTAAAAGTATATAAATGTTTAAATTTTAAGTTTTATAGCTTGTATTCTAAAGAAGTCTATACTCGAAATTTTTAAGTATAATTATAATAAAATAAATAAATCCACAATTAATTATAAAACCTATATATATTCTTTAAAAATTTAAATCTTTTGTAAAAAAACCGTATAAATGCTCGTGTGAAGTGAAATTCACGTGGTCGGCCGCTAAAGAACCGGAGAAACCGTCGAATAAGCCAATAGTGCTTTAAGTATGTTATAAAACTAAAAAAACTATAAAAAAAAAATCTTTAACCACTTCTCAGTAATTTTTCCTATGGGGAAGCGATCTTCGTTAAACATTCTCATTCCTTAAAAATTTAATTATAAAAATATAAAAAAGAAGCAAAAGAGCAATAACGGATCTTAAATTAATTGTAAAGTTATGTTGTAACTGTACTGAAAATAGAGTATTGTTAATTTTTAAAAAAGAAACTTTTAATAATAAACTATGAAAACATACTTTGGTGAATCGTTTATAAAAAACTGTTATACATTATAACATATTAAGTATTTTTGTAAAAAACCACCTTCAGGAATATTTTAACGGAATAATTTCAAATTACTGAAACAAAGTTAATTATGCTAGTGAGTAGTAATATTTAAAAACCTCTCGTACTCCTTATCCCTACAACACTTGATTAACGAATTAGGAGAATGAAAAAAGGTGGGTCACGATTAACTTTCTTAGTAACAATTTCATTATTACTTGCATAATTAAATCCCGTTAGTTCGCCTGAAGAAGCAAAAAAGCTTATGTTGCTTACGAAACGAATATTTAAAAATGGTTGAAAGTGATTCCTTGTTAATTTTATCTCAAGTATCTGTTTTGTATGTAAACTAAAAAATCTGCTAGATATAGTAAATCCTTGCCGAAAAACTAATAGGGATTCCTCAGTCCCATAAGATAAGAATGAGTAAAAATTTTTAAAACTTTTTTTGGCATAAAAAGAAACAAAAAAGTTTATATAGCAGAAATTTTCTTTTAGACTTGAAAAATTGCTAATAAAAAAATAACTAATTGCTGAATAAAAAGAGCCAATAAACTATCAAGAATGAATTAAACCTTTTAATTAGCTTTTTACCAATACTAAGAAAAAAATTTTTGAAATACTAAATAAAATTGCTCAGACAAATAACTTAAATAATTAATACTTAATATAACTGACAGAAATGTAGATTTTGTGTTTACTCATAACCTAAAATTTTATTAGTTTATTTGTTGAAAGTAAAAGGTTAAAAACGATATAAATCTGATTATTTTTTGATAATGAGTTACTTTTTCGGCTTGCAAGTTTTTATAAACATAGATTATAGTGTGCGTGTACATTTTTGTTAAACTAGCCACACAAACTAGTGATTATCTATAAATTGTTTAACTGTAAAGGAGCAAGTCATATTTAGTTTATATTATTTCTTTTTGCGGTTTCATGATTAATTGAAGAGGTGGATGTAAAGTTTATGTGAAATATAACTTCATTTATGAGATTTCTACTCTTATATGTTACAGTTACTGATGTAATTAGTATTATTAAAGGCGTTATTAAGTTATTAAAAGTAGTTTAAAGTTTTTTTGAAGATTATAATTGGCTAACTTCTAGGTATACTTAGGTTGCTTTAGCTTGGAAATTTATAATAGATATTTAAGCTAAAAAAGATAATCGTAAATTACCAAGATAAATTTAAAATTAAGATAAATAAGTAAAATATATTTTTATTTTATATATTTGCTGATCTCGTGGCTCATCATCACAACTAGTTAAGGAACTTTATCAACTGGTTTGCTCAGTTAGTTTATTAGCAAAAACTAACAAGTTAGCCGTTAGCAATGAGTTGAAATAAAGTTTCTATTAGCAGACGGCGCTCTAAGTGTAAAATTTTGTAAGTAAACATTTTTTCTTACTTCTTACGCATTATTTAGAAATTAATAGTGTTACACGTATAAGGTAATAACGAGGCTAGCGGGTAGCAGTGAAAACTAATTAAAAAACGGATGATGCTTTCTAGCATACCGTCTCATATTACATATTAATTACCGTCTCTCGCTTCACTATTTATTTATTAATGGAAGTCCCTGGTGCTCGATCAAGTTAAAAACTTCGAATACTCGAGTTCTCAATCAGGAGTGATCGCAGATGTATTACAAATAGCATTCAGGATGCAATTATTTATTTACATTGCAAAAATTAAAACTAAGCGCGTCACGTGGGAGACAATAACGTGCTCCGTCTCATGACTCGTAAGCTCGCTCACCTTTCTTTTGCTGTCTTGAGCGCCACTACATAGTCCACGTGAGGCGGCCAGGAAATTTTGTTGTCGATGATGATTCCCAAGTGGTCGTTTGAGAACAGCATACAATCATCACGCCATTAAAGGTTATGGACACCACAGGGACGCGTTTATTTGAAATTAATATAGCTTTGCTCTTCATCGCACTCATAGTAACCTTGCAAACACGGCATCAGACGGCAAGGGTGTCAAGATAGCGCCGTAGATGCTTACATATCAAAGCGATAAATTTCAAAGAGGGATATAAGGTCGTATTATCAGCGTAGAGGGCTATTCGTGCGTGTGGGTCGGACGGCGAAGGCCCGTCGCCCACGTAAATTGCAAATAAAAAGGGCGAGAGAAGGGATCCCTGAGAAGCCCCTGCTGTCGGAGATAGAAGCGAAGACCGGGTTTTTCCCACGCGCACGCTGTAGACGCGACCATTCAGATATAATTTTGGGCACATTATAAAGGCTAAGAGGGTTGGATAACGAGCGCAGTTTATGCAGCAGACCTTCATGCCAAAACCTGATCAAATGTCTTTTCAACGTCCAGGAAAAGAGCGCCTGTTGCCTTCTTATGGTTAACAGCACGAGTGCTCCATTCAGTTAAGCGTAGGAACTGCTGCAATCCAAACTGGAAACGACCCATTAGTTAGTGGTAGTTAGCTGTTATAAGTCAAATTTTTTATTGGGCAGCTAATACATATCGGCTTAAGTTCTGGAATAATCACACAACTTTTAAATTAACCACTTCAACTTTCTTTGAAAAGGTATTATAAATGGTATAATTACAACAAATTTGTTTGCGAAGTTTCGTTACCAAAATATCGTCTTTTAAGCATGCAGGAGTAATATTTTTCAAAATAACTATTCTCCTCTAAAATAGCGTAATCATAGTTAATACTTAATGGCTAAATAAGTTCATCTTTTTTTTTAATAATAGACTTAGTGAATGGTACAAACAAAAGCAAAATAAAGTTTCATGTGTGTCTATGTTTAACTTGATAATGTATAAATACAACTTTTTAATGCAATCATAGCATTATAAAGCATTTTGTAAGTTAATAAACTAGGTATAACTTCATTTGTTTCCTTAAAAATTTCATACCTTAATAATAGTTAAATTATTCTCAACTATTGTTGCTTTCTGTAAGCTTTCTTTTTAAAAGGTCAAAATCTTAACTAAAGAAAATTAATTAATTGCGATTTATATAAACTTTGTAGTTTTGTTTCAATAAATATTTGGTCTAAAAAACACAGCAACAACCAAAAAAAAACGGATTTCTTAATCAAGTTAGGAGAATAAGAATAAGTAAATAAGATCAGTAAATAATAATAATAATAATACTGAAATAATTTAAGTGATAATATATAAATATACTATAGTACGCTGTTTTATATATAACCCTTTTTCTTACAACTCTATCCTGACTTGCGGTTGTTCCATTTTTTAATTAACATATTTGACCATTTTCTAGCAAGGTTATGCGTAAGTTTTATAATTATTATAGGAATTTTATTGGAATAAATCTTTGTACAAATGCTTTAGATATATAATTAACAGCCATTATTTCTTTATTTTATTTTATACAGTAAAAAATTCATTATTATTAAATAAACAGGAAAGACACCAGTTCTTTTGGATTAAGGTGTTTTTAATACTCAGTTCTTTTTTTTTTTGAGTTTTATGTTGGGCGTTAGGTATACATATATATGCACAAATTAGATTTTTATTTTCATAGTCTTTTTCACTCTTTACCTTAAAAAATTGAAAAACTATTCTTTAAAACCAAAAATAATGCGCAATTCGTTTATTAAAAATAATAGAGCCATTCTTTCATAATAGATTCTTTGGGGCCGTCTTGCAAAGTTGTTTACCGTTTACGCAACTCCAAAAAATTTTCGCAAACAATCATTTTGTTTCTTAACTACTTAATGCTGGTTTCCGAAGTTTTTTCTTGTACAAAGACTGACATATCTAGTCTACTACTAAACTTCCATAGCGTTGTATGTAGGGGACACTTTCTTTATATGGTCCTAGTTAACCCCTCCTAGCGATTCTAATTTACAAGAATGACAATGGGAATTAACTCTATAAAAAATTATAAAATTATAAAAGCCTGAATTATCTCAGACTAAATAAAGTGAACCTGCAGGTTTAATAATGAAATTACTAAAAAATAAGGGTATTTATGGGTAATGCGTTTTGAATTTATCAGAACTTCTAAGTTTGGACAACCCCTTAATTTTAGGAATATAACGCTCTTGGAAACTATTTAATACATTAAAGTAAACAAAAGTAAAATCAAAGCTAATATATTAAGTTCTGTTAATTAACTTCTATTGTGTAATATGCTTGCCATTTATATAATTATCTGCCTTATCCTAAAAAATTGACTGCTTAAAAAGAACAATAAAATATTTAACAATAGTGTCTTTCTCAAGTCAATTGAATTAAGTCGGGCGTGGGCTAGGTTATTACTATCAGGTATATAGGATTTAGCATAAGTAAATATAGACTAAATAAAATGATATGTTAACTTTGTGTACTAAAGACAACAAATGTAATAAAAACCCAACAAAAAAGCCTAAGGAAGAAATTTTGACATTGTATCTATTAAAACTAACATTTGTTTAAAAATATTTTTATATAATAAAACTCAAACGTAACATAAAAAGTTATATTAAAAAGGAAAAAAAATGCTGGTTATAAAAATTGCTATCTAACTTAATTCTAAACTACTCCTAATTTAATAATTTTAAAATTAGTTCATATAATTAAAATAAGCTCAACATAGTAATATATTTAATTTAAAACAAAAGCAAAAAAATAAAAGTTTTATCATCCATTATAATGAATTAAAAGTTTCTATATATTTTTCTTTTTTTCTATTAAAAAATTCTTTGATGCCAATGTAACACCACCTTTATTCCAAACTCTGTCCAGCAATTCCATTTTTACTTCTTGTTCAACAGATCGATTGATATCGCTATCTTTAATTAAGACTAAAATTTTCTAATTTATTTCTCTTTTTCGTGAGTTTTCTATGTATAGCAATGCAGCCAAAGCATCAAAAACTCCTAATGTAACGATCCCTCTAGCCCAAGCTTTGTCCTGATCTTCACATGTTAAAGAATTCACTGAGGAATTATCTTTCATGTTTCAACATGTGGTTCACTAAACCTCATGCAAAACGTTTCAAATACAGATAAGTTGGTCTATTTACAATACTTTTGCGTGGGCAATATTTTATAATTTAAAATAATCCACAAATTATATACTCATGATTTCTCATTATTTTTCTTGATAAGCGCATATTAATATTAGCAATTACTAGTGAAAACTTAATGTGTGGCGAACCAACATAGATGAATATTACTAATTTATTGAACTAATAATATTTTAAACTACATTATGAAAAAGTGACGGTTAAGTATTGGCTTAATTTTTTTATTTTTTAACGTTTTCTGGCAAACGTGCTTTGTTTTTTTTGGACTGTTTACTTTGTTCGCTCTTTGTTTAAAATGAATATATAAATATATTTTACCACTGCTTCTATGCTACCAGGATAAATTTATTGATTCTAAATCTACAAATTTTTATGTGAGAATAATTTTTATTATAGTAACTTTTTATTGTTTTAATATTTTTCTCAGAGCTAATGAATTTTTGAATTTAAGTTGTTAATAATAAAGTTTCATTATTTTAAACTTTGTTTTGGAATATATATATTTTATCAAAGTTAAAGTTTACATATTTAGTTCAATATTACATCCGTCACAATTCACTACAGCTACTTCATTGATTATATTTGCTGTCCTTTAAGAAATATCTGATATGCAACCGGTTGGTATATAATTATGAGCTCTACCTTTTAATTTGAAAGTGCATACGCAATAAATTATAGCTTTTTACTCTTAAACAATCTTCTCATTTTGAATTTTAAATAGATTTAATTTTATCTTTAATAAAAACTTTACAAAATTTTGAACCTAATAAATTTATTTTGGATGTTATTTATATAAAATTTTATAAAAAAATAAAACTAATTTTTTTGTAGTTAATTTAATTGTTTTAATCAGGTTGCTAGCATAAAGTGCAAAGAAAAGCTCTTCGACAAAAAAAACTTAAAATAGATTGCTTGCAAGTTTACTTTATATTTATGTTGATTATGTACGCTGCAAGCTTTTAATTATTCATTATATGCAAAAGTAGCATACTTACTGCTTTTTTAAGGTAAATGCTTGGCTATGTATTTATGTATATAAAGAAATTTTCACTCACAAAACAAATTAATATTTTTTTTTTGAAGAAAAGATTGAATTACTCAAAGTAACTCTAAAAAGTAATAGAAGCTAACTTACTGCCATCTTAAAGTGAACTAATGAATATTAAGGTGACGATATTATAAATAAATTAAAAAATAAAAATTCCAAAAAAAAAATAAACTTTTTTTAATTATAGAAAAGCAAAAAAGTAGCCAACCCACTCCATAATTAAATATTTTTACTTTTTAACAAAAATTAGAAATTTTCCATTATAAGACGTGTATAATGATTTCTTTACAAGCAAAAAGTTTAAAATATTAAAGTGACTATTAAAAAAGCCATAGCAGCCTACTTACTGCTTTCATAGAGGTGTATACTTGAATTTATAGTGAAAAAAATTAAATATACCTAATATAATAATAATATAAACATTAAACTTTTACTGTAATATAATTTTTAACGTTATATATTTTAAATCAATAAAATTTCAACTTATATAAAAGCAAAACTAGACTATTACAGCATATATATATATTATTATTAGAAATAATGAAAAATTTTACTAGTTCAAATCTATGAAATAGATTTTTTTTTTAAGAAAAAAGTGAAAATTTCCAATTGGCTATAAATTAATCAAAGGGACCCACCCACCGCTCAAAAAATTATGTATTAACTTAATAAAAAAAATAGAGAAAATTTTCATATTTACAAATCTGCAAGTTAACAATATTTTCTTCTAGGGAAAATATTAAAATTTTCAAATTGACAAGAAAGCCGTAGCAGCCTACCCACTGCTTTTGATTCGTATAATATTCAGAAACGCGCTTCTGGCAATCAGTATACGATTGGTAGTCCGCCTGCACTTTAAAGCGATCGCCGTGCACCACAGAAGCGTATCGACAATCACACAAGAAGCGTTCGGCTGCCCCGGGCAAAAGTGAACAAAACTAATTTAATCTGTGAGTATTCGAAGCATCGAGTTGTTCTCCTAATATGCAACTGGATTGTATCCTTCGTAGAGAAGAAAAAAAATATTAATTTAGTCACTGAAGATTTAAGTTAAAATTTGAATTCATATGAAAGTTACTGGTGTTCAGCTTAATAATAAATTTAAAACATGTTTTAAGGAAGTTTTTGTCTTGCTAGAGGCAAAGTAAGCATTACCTAAAACAATTGTTTCTTAAAATTTAAAAACTTAAGTTTAAAACGACATAATATATAATACTTTATACTAATACAAAAACTTTTGTAAGAAAATGCCATAAAGACTAGCGAATCTATTAGATTGTATCTACTATTATAAACCCTAAACAAAACTTAGAAACGTTTAAAAAAACTAGAATTAAAGTAAAACAATTGCGGACATTAATGAACTACAAAACCTTGTGGATTTAATAGCTTGTGTTTTAATTACAATTGATTATTAAAGTAACTTTTTAGTGTAGCTAATATGCAAATTCCTGCAAGAGCAGAATGTATCTAAACTCTTCAATTGTATTTTTAGATTTTGCTTATTTATTAAAGAAAAACTTACGAGACCTAACCGCGACTAATTTCTAACTTAATTAATTTATTCAAGTAGCTGAAAGGAAGAAATTTGGATAACGCAAGCCACTTGTATACATATTCCGTCTAAATCTTTACTCTCGTTGTGCGTAAGACCGGAAATAAAAATATTATGGGATACAATCGCCTCTTTAATTTCTATATTGGCGCCGTCAAGCGTACCTCTAGTCAGAGCGTCGTTTAGCTGGAATTTCATGTGGCCTATGCCTGAAGTTTCAGTAACTTCTGTTGATTAGTTAATATTAAAAAAGGAAAAAAAGTTTATCTATGAAATTAGTTTACGTTCCCGTAATATTACGTTACAAATGGTAACTATAAAAAAATATTTGATCTTCATAAAAATAAAATTAGTATAATTATGTTAGTATATAGTTTAGCTTAAAAATTTATCTTCATATATATAAAGCAAGCACTTAAAAAGGATTAAGAGAAAAAAAATGAAAAAAAGCCCGGATGTAGAAATCTGCTCTGACAAATCCGTAAATTGAATAATTTTGTCGGTCAATGATACTCTATAGTTTTCGAAGAACACAACTTTAATGAATTTAAAACTACGGGATGAGCATTCACAGTTTTCCCCACGCAATTAAGTTTTATAATATACTAGGTCACGTGGTAGCCAGAAGCGGCTTTCTCACCAAAAACAATTGCTCGCTGCGCGTAGTTTTTGTAGAGGTTATCCATAAATTCATTATAAATAGTGATTACGTGGAGAACATTCCGTAATTGGCGCTTGTATTTGTGAATTGTTTAACTGCACGTCAAGTATGAAAACTAACGTCAGTGCCTGATTTAATGAGTGATAGTTATAATAATAACAAACTTTACTGAAAAATAATTTATAAATATAACGTTAATTAACAATAAAAATATTTTTAAATTTTATAATAATAATAACAATAATAAATAACTTTTTATTTTTATTAATAATAAAGAAAAATGCTAAACGTTACTAAAAAATAGATAAATACCATTAAATATAATGATGCTTAGAAAAAAATATATTTACCTTTGTGGATAATAATAAAAACTTTATATTTTAAATTATAAAATTTATTAAAAAAAAGTAAAATACTTTAATATGTAACTATAAAGTAATAAACAATAATATAAAATAATATATAATACTTCCATAAGGAATAATAAGTTAAAGAATTATAATTTCAAGTATAATATAAAAAACATAATAAAATATATATATAAAATAAAAAAAACTAACAAATCCCGTCTCTTCATGAACTTCTCGAACAGCACAACCAAACGGCTTCTCATATAAAAAAAATTATATAAAAGCAAAGTTGAAATATATACTACTTCTATAGATAACATGAAAAACTATTTTAAATGAAAGTGGAATAGATGATATACATATAAGCCTTTAATATATAATTTTTTATAATAAAATTTTCAAAAAACTGATGAAAGGTTTATATAAACATGAATCAAAAATCAGTAGGAATGAAGCAGACCTTTGTTCAATTTTCCTTGCGGAAAACTCCACGCGGAGCGCAAGGTCCAACCCTTTACTAAAACGCACTTGTCCAGCCTGATATTATAATTAATAATAAAGTTCAATGAAAAGTTTACGCAATAAATATCTATTTTTTCAAAAAAAATTTCAGAATGTAAAAAAATATAATACATAAGATTTTAATATAAATAGACATATTATAAATGGAAATTTAAATAAGAACGAAAGGAAATAAAAATGTTTAAAAATATCTCATAAAAAAATTAAGGGATATTAATAGCGTTTAAAAAGTTCATCTAATTAATATTTTGCTTGATTAAAAAAATGATAAAACAAAAAATTAATAGTACTACAGATGTTAAATAATATATACGTATAAACAAACACCAATTGTTTTTAAAATGAAAAAAAAGCACATAAATATAGGATTAAGCTTAGGAACATTATAAAAAAGATCCAGTGCTAAATAGAGAGCGGCACGGTAATATATATAGTACTAGTACCTAGTACCTACCATAGCATAGAGGAAATACACTAGTATCCAGGAATCCAACACCGAAGAACAGTGCAGGTTCCATAGACACAGCTAAGATCGTTCCAGACTAGCATAAGGTACTAGTACATAGAAGCGCCTAGCTCACAGATGCAGATCGAGTCGAGTAAAGAACCCTAGTCAAACACCTGTGCTAGTGTCTACACTATGACACGACGCAGCCGGCTACTGCCACCGCGCGCTCTGGACAGAGCATAGGTCTAGATAACATCACTCATCACTTAGCTCTTGCTTTAGCGGCGTTCGTCTTTGCTACTAACCGTCAACTATAGCAGTGTGCCAAGTAAATTAGCTATTTTCAACTCAGCTTTGTTTATTGGTTAGTATGCATGAGTTTGAATAGATCTTCATTCACTACGCCTAAGGAGGAATAGCTGCAGCAGGCAACGCTAGTACTCAACGGAAGCCTTATGAGTCAAGTTAATTAGCCTGAATCATAACACAATCCAAGTCATCCGTTAGCTACAAACTTCTCGTATCGTAAGACAACCTTACGCTAGCTAAAATTTGCGTCCACGAATACAGATAAGATATAACCTGCTACAAAACTTAGACCTACAACGAAGTTTTTGTCATTTTTAAGAGCATGTCTTTCGACAAGTGCGTCTCTAACTTGTCATAAGTTGGTTAGCTATGGCAACCTGAGGCTCTCCTCGGTAACGTGTTGCTAATAACTCAGAGCTTCAGTTAGGAAGGTACCATAATCACGATCCTAGGTTGGTAAATAGTTATTTAAACAAGTCCAAGCTTAAAATCGTAAGCTAGCCATGTGAAACCTGAGTTTAATATAGGATTCGACTCAGCAGAGGGCTTGAAGGATAGTCGTTTGATAACACCATCGGATAGTAGAGGGTGACATGACCCGACCGAAGATAAGTTTATATCTTCACGTTATTCCACCCAAGGATGACAATCTTCCGAGCGCCCTAGATCGAAACCATCGGGAACCCTCGAGAACTAACATTCGAGTAGGGAACGTATTTGAATATATAGGACCAATCTTTTTTGGCCACTTATACTAACAGGCGCCTGGGAACCTTAGTTGCTAGTTCTTACTAGCCTGCAGAGTGTACAACAGGGAAGGACAGCCAAGAAGAAAGCCGCCAGTCAAACCAAGCACTAAAAGAGTGACCACCACCGCTGAGATTTAACCCAAAGAACCTATCTTTAAATCAATGGCGGAATGATAGCCTAGATCGCGATGGCCGCATGGGCCATGAAGGTTTATTCGCACGTTCCGCACAAAATGACCGCACAGGACGTGCGAAAAAACGAGCAGATTTCTCTGCTCTTATACGTGATTTTGAAGACCTTGAGAATGTCAAAAATAGCTCTTCAAATTAAAAATAGTGTTTCTACCTATGAAAATGAGTTTGACAAAATTTAATTAGTTAAGTTTAGGTATAAGCACTAATAATAATAAATTTGATGAAATTATTGTTATATTAATTTATTTATTTTATTTTATTTTATTTAATTATTTATTTTAATTTAGTTTAATTTTTTCAAGTATATTAAAATTTATTCGATTTATTTATTTATTTACTTAGTAAATTATATTTAATTTTATTAATTTGGTTTTTACATTTAGGTACTAGCATCGAAGCTAAGAGTCTTGCATAATTTATTTAGTAATAAAATTAGATTGATTATTTGTATTAACTTCAGTTTTATTATATAAGAATTTTTTTTTCTATGATTTAGTTTTATTTATATTCATTTATAATGTAAAATTATTTGATAACTAGATCTAATTTAACTTAATTATTAACTCGATTTTATTTTCAAAGTTTATTATGAGAGATCATGGTGTGTTATGTTAATTTTATTGTAAAAGCTCAGTAACTTTAAACAGGCTTGGTCACCTTTGGTTAATTTATAAAGCTTATGCTAATATTTAATTAAATATGACTGTTTAATTGTAATTAATTTAAATTTGTTTATTATTTAATTTAGAGTAATAAACTCTAATAGGATTAAATGAAAGCTGAACCTATTTAGGTTTAAGTTATAAAGTCGACCCTAGTGTGTAAACATTAAATAAGTTTAGTTAACGATTAAATAGGTAGGATGTTAACCCTAATGTGTTCTCTAAGGTTGCAAGGGAGATAGCACTTGTCTGAGAACTTTATTAGACTTTTAGGTTTAACTAGCTTTAATAGCTAATCTTTAGACATATGTGCCCTATAATAATTTAAGGGTTAAATATTGTAACATTCATATATTAACTCATAGCGTCATTTAGAAGGCCTTATAGTCACGCTGCATTTGTTTGTTTGATAAAAACAATATCAAGTATAAAATTGTACACTAGTCTTAACTTGCCAAGAGTCAACTAGTCATATAGCATGATGAATTATCATTTATAGCCTCGTTGCAGAGGGTAGATTGACATGATAACTAAGAATCAAAAGAATTAACCAACGGTCCAAGCCAAGGAGGATAGACATAGCCCAATAAGTAGCCAAATTTTGTAGTCGCCAATGTGTTTAGGTTCTTAAATGACAGAGGTCTTACTTTCTACAGTTAAGGTTGCATGTGTACATCCTGCGCAAAAGTCAAGTTAAAGGTAAAAAGATATAATGCACGCACAGGACAGAGACAAGCAACGATAAAAGATAAAAAGTATCTTTTATAAAAATTGTATAAAATATAACCAATCTGTTAGATGTAGTTATCAATGCAGAAAGATAAAATAGATTACATCTTAATGAACTTAAGTCAAAGATCACTTTACAGACCTTCCTTATTCTTCCTAAATTAGCACTAGATTACTACAACTCAGTAGCAGAGTCTAGATATGAAGGTTTATCAATTAAATCTATCAAGACTAAATTAACTAACTAACAGTCTAGACATGTTAACTAGTTAAATGTTCTACCAAAGTAGAACGAAAAAACAATAAGAGTTTAAAACTTTCTCTTTTCTATATCTAGCGATCCCAGCTTAGGCTATGCCTCTGGGACGATGTCAAAGACATCGCCTGTCGACTCAGTTTACTGAGCGTACCGACAGGTCCTGCTAGTAAACAAAAAGAGATAATTTTAAACTCTTATTGTTTTTTCGTTCTACTTTGGTAGAACATTTAACTAGTTAACATGTCTAGACTGTTAGTTAGTTAATTTAGTCTTGATAGATTTAATTGATAAACCTTCATATCTAGACTCTGCTACTGAGTTGTAGTAATCTAGTGCTAATTTAGGAAGAATAAGGAAGGTCTGTAAAGTGATCTTTGACTTAAGTTCATTAAGATGTAATCTATTTTATCTTTCTGCATTGATAACTACATCTAACAGATTGGTTATATTTTATACAATTTTTATAAAAGATACTTTTTATCTTTTATCGTTGCTTGTCTCTGTCCTGTGCGTGCATTATATCTTTTTACCTTTAACTTGACTTTTGCGCAGGATGTACACATGCAACCTTAACTGTAGAAAGTAAGACCTCTGTCATTTAAGAACCTAAACACATTGGCGACTACAAAATTTGGCTACTTATTGGGCTATGTCTATCCTCCTTGGCTTGGACCGTTGGTTAATTCTTTTGATTCTTAGTTATCATGTCAATCTACCCTCTGCAACGAGGCTATAAATGATAATTCATCATGCTATATGACTAGTTGACTCTTGGCAAGTTAAGACTAGTGTACAATTTTATACTTGATATTGTTTTTATCAAACAAACAAATGCAGCGTGACTATAAGGCCTTCTAAATGACGCTATGAGTTAATATATGAATGTTACAATATTTAACCCTTAAATTATTATAGGGCACATATGTCTAAAGATTAGCTATTAAAGCTAGTTAAACCTAAAAGTCTAATAAAGTTCTCAGACAAGTGCTATCTCCCTTGCAACCTTAGAGAACACATTAGGGTTAACATCCTACCTATTTAATCGTTAACTAAACTTATTTAATGTTTACACACTAGGGTCGACTTTATAACTTAAACCTAAATAGGTTCAGCTTTCATTTAATCCTATTAGAGTTTATTACTCTAAATTAAATAATAAACAAATTTAAATTAATTACAATTAAACAGTCATATTTAATTAAATATTAGCATAAGCTTTATAAATTAACCAAAGGTGACCAAGCCTGTTTAAAGTTACTGAGCTTTTACAATAAAATTAACATAACACACCATGATCTCTCATAATAAACTTTGAAAATAAAATCGAGTTAATAATTAAGTTAAATTAGATCTAGTTATCAAATAATTTTACATTATAAATGAATATAAATAAAACTAAATCATAGAAAAAAAAATTCTTATATAATAAAACTGAAGTTAATACAAATAATCAATCTAATTTTATTACTAAATAAATTATGCAAGACTCTTAGCTTCGATGCTAGTACCTAAATGTAAAAACCAAATTAATAAAATTAAATATAATTTACTAAGTAAATAAATAAATAAATCGAATAAATTTTAATATACTTGAAAAAATTAAACTAAATTAAAATAAATAATTAAATAAAATAAAATAAAATAAATAAATTAATATAACAATAATTTCATCAAATTTATTATTATTAGTGCTTATACCTAAACTTAACTAATTAAATTTTGTCAAACTCATTTTCATAGGTAGAAACACTATTTTTAATTTGAAGAGCTATTTTTGACATTCTCAAGGTCTTCAAAATCACGTATAAGAGCAGAGAAATCTGCTCGTTTTTTCGCACGTCCTGTGCGGTCATTTTGTGCGGAACGTGCGAATAAACCTTCATGGCCCATGCGGCCATCGCGATCTAGGCTATCATTCCGCCATTGATTTAAAGATAGGTTCTTTGGGTTAAATCTCAGCGGTGGTGGTCACTCTTTTAGTGCTTGGTTTGACTGGCGGCTTTCTTCTTGGCTGTCCTTCCCTGTTGTACACTCTGCAGGCTAGTAAGAACTAGCAACTAAGGTTCCCAGGCGCCTGTTAGTATAAGTGGCCAAAAAAGATTGGTCCTATATATTCAAATACGTTCCCTACTCGAATGTTAGTTCTCGAGGGTTCCCGATGGTTTCGATCTAGGGCGCTCGGAAGATTGTCATCCTTGGGTGGAATAACGTGAAGATATAAACTTATCTTCGGTCGGGTCATGTCACCCTCTACTATCCGATGGTGTTATCAAACGACTAT